CATCAACATGTAAAAGCACACATCTTTTAACAGTCTTTTGAAACCCCTCTTTGTCCGCTGTGTTTAGCCAACAGATATTCTCTGAGACCTCGAAAGAGCTGCCCGGACCTGCTGTCTCTTTGCCAGTCTTTGGTTCCCAACCATTCCTATCAGCTCCTCAGGCCACAGTCGCCACGGATGTCCTGCTACCAGCTGATAAGTCCACTGTGAAGCCTGGGTGGCTTCTCAGGAGTATTCGGCAATGAGCACTCCACTCATGAGCACACTGTCCTGGGTTCCAGGACACCAACCTTTCTTGTTACTGTCATGTTCCCGGGCCTCATATCCTCAGGCTTTCCTAATCTTGCCTCCCAGCTCAGGCCCCTGGGGTATCTTCTTTCCATTGCCACCCAGGCTGGGCCGGGCAATTCTAAAAGTTTAGAATGAAATCTAGCCACGTGTAATCTCAGCGCTCAGGAGGCAGAGGCAGATCTCTGTGAGCCAGAGAACAATTTGAGGGAGACACACAGAGAGACCCTGCTTCAGGAAGAAGGAAAGGGGGTGGAGGTATCTGCCTGTAGGTGACCCTCAAGTTCAGGTTTCACTCCCAAGTTGCTGCCTCCTTCTCAGGATCCATAGTCATTTTCTCCCCCCCTGCCCCCCTCACCTCCGGGGGTCTCATGGAGCCTACGCCAACCTTGAACTTCGCCAGGCGCATCCTCTTATCTTCCCATCATCTCTTGAACACTCATACTCCCTAACACTAAGCAAACGCCAGGGCAACAGCTGGCGTCATACTCTCTCAAAAGAGTGAAAGAAAAAAGTCTGTGCATATCCTGGACAGTTTTTTCTCTCGGGTACCTCCATATGGGTTGTTGGGCTGCAGAATCTGCAGGTCAAGTTTGTAAGTGTGTAGACCAAACTGGCTTTGCCTCTACCTCCTTCGTGCTAGGAATAAAAGCATTCACCACAACACACCCCACCTTCCAAGTCATTTTTTTTCATTGCTTTTAAGACTTACTTTACACGTGAGATGTTTTACCTGTGTGTATGTATTCACACCATGTACATGCCTGGTACCCCAGAAGATCAGAAGAGGGCATCAGATCGCTTGGAACTGGAGTTACAGACAGATATGAGCCACCACGTGGGTGCTAGGAACCAAACCCTGGTCCTCTGCAAGAGCCACACGTGACCTTAAGTGCTGAGCATCCCTCCAGACCCCTCCAAGTCCAGTTTTATCTATCTCTCTGTCTTTTCCCTTCTCCTAGATGAAAACACAAAGTCTCAGGCTAAAGAGGCGGTCCGGTGGCTTAGAGTACTAGTTCCCTTTCCAGGGGGTCCACAACTGTCTGTAACTCTTTGTTCTGGTTTGCTTTACAAGGGTCCTCCCCCCCCACCTCCCTCTCTGTCTCTGAAGCTTAGGCTGGACTAGAACTTGCAATCCTCCTGCATCAACTTCCTGTATTCTAGAACTGCACCATCAAGCACATCTAGAAATCACCTTTTTCCCCTCTCTTTCTTGAACTCGCTGTGTAGACCAGGCTGGCCTCAAACCCACAGAGATCCATATGCCTCTGCCTCCTGAGTACTGGGCCTAAGGGCATGCACCACTACACACCAGAATTTTTTTAAGTTATCTTTTTTTAAAGATTTATTTATTTATTACATAAACAGTGTTCTGCCTACATGCCAGAAGAGGGCACCAGATTCAATTATAGATGGTTGTGAGCCACCATGTGGTTGCTGGCTCTGGAAGAGCCGTCTGTGCTCTTAACCTCTGAGCCATCTCTCCATCCCCACACCAGAATGTTTTATGCTATTCATTTGTTTGTGTGTTTGTTTATGTGCGCAAGTCAAAGTGCATATGTGGGACCCAGAGAAACAACCCTTGGGAGTGAGTCTACCATCTCGGTCTGTCAGCAAATACTCTTCTTTGCCTACCAAGCATTCTCGTCTGTCCATTTTACTTGTTTAAATCTTAATAGGCACCCATGGCCACTGGCTCATCTGAGACTGGTGACTGGGTTTGTGACACTCAGGCTTGCAGAGGGAGGGGACATGTATTTGCAGCTCTGAGGTTACTTTGTTTATGTAACCCAGCAAGGGCCCCACTGGTCTACACAGCATGACAAGGGTCAGATGAAGTAGAGAACAGCCAGGCTCCTGTTGCCTTCAGGTCCCCATCTGAGATGGTTCCTCTGTCTAGTTGCCTCATGAGACAATGAGTCCCTGGAGAGGTGGTACCCAGTGCTCAAGTCAGAGAGACCTGAGCATCTCTCTCTTCGGGATTTGCTCTTGGCCATGCTCGGGATCCTTCCAGGGTGGAGTCTGCATGACTGATCTCACAAAGTTCCCAAGGGCTTCACAGGGAATCCATAAATGTGTGTTGCAATGAGTAAACAGGGGGGAGAGCCCAAGTGGGGAGAGGCTTCTGGTAACAGGGAGCCCTGTTGATAAGGGAGGGGTAGAGGGAGGAGGGCCTTTACTCAGTTCTTCAACCATTTAGGCAAATGTCCTCAACCCTGGCAGTGCCCAAGAATCATGACCAAAATTTTGATTTTTAAAAGTTTAGAACTTTCTCCCTGATATTCTGATACAAGTTTAATGAATGGTCAGGGATCAAGAATTGTTTTTGGTTGGGAATGGTGGTGCATGACTTTGATCCCAACACTCAGGAAGCAGGGGCAGAAGCAGGTGGATATCTGAATTCAGGGCTAGCCGGGTCTACAGAGTGAGTTCCAAGACAACCAGGATTATACAAAGAAACCTTGTCTCAAAATACAAAAAAAAAGATTTAATTGTCACTTTTATAAAGATGACATTCTTCCTAGCCAAAGTCCTATCCTAGACAAAAGAAAAACACTAATTCAGAATGAGGCTACGGACGAAGGTGGGTTTTATGGACAGAAAGAGGTTGCCCCAAAGAGAATTCAGAAGTGTGTGAAGATTTAAATACTTAGTACTTAGGCCTCTATGCTGCTGTGTGTATTTTCCTGCCTTGCAGAAGAAAAGGGGAACCGAAGCCACTCATACCCAGGCTGTCCTCAGCCAGCAGCACCTAGAATGTTTGACCCAGCAGAAGTCTCAATCCCAGCTGGTCCAGGACCTTACCTAGGAGGCAAGGACACCAAGGAGTCCTAGCAGGCCCTGGCGGGGCAGGCTCTAAGGGGGCCACTGATGGATTTCCCCTGCCAGTCAGCTCCAGCTGGCTCCCCTCTCTGAAGCCAAACATCTCAGTCATTTGCTCCACACTTCCCGTTTGATGCTTGGTTCTTGATTGTCACCCTCTAGTCTGTGGTGCGCAAGTGTGGGTGTGGGAGATGGGCTGGGGCCTGTGCTTCTCTGCATTTTCCTTCTGAGCTGGGAGGGCTTTCACTTCCTCCCAGAGTCCCAGTTCTGTCTTCTAGGGGCTGTTCAGGTCGGAAGACACCCCCACCCTTGGGCGTCCTTTCTGAACCACAGGAAAACTAACTCGTCCCCAAAGTGCCTTGTAACTCCTTCGGAACAGAGAGGAACGGTGGCGTGGTGCCGGGTGGGTGGTGGGTTAGTACCCGAGACAGACAGAGAGGCCCGCTCCTGCTCTCCCAAAAAGAGACAGCGTCAGTCCTGCCTGGCCCTACGAGAGGCCACGTGAGGACCTCCTCTTCCATCCGTGCCTTCTGCCCCAGAATTCCACCAGATGAGAGGGATGCTCAGCTTGCCCCAAGCGCCCTCAGCTCTGCCTACTGGTCTAGATCAACAGAGAAATATTAGGGATCTAGGGAACGCTGAGACGTGGAAGGGGGTCCAACAACTGGGCCCGACAGCTTCCCACCATCGCACTTCTCTGGACCTCAGACTCCTCTCAAAGCTTTACGTCAACCCAACAGAGGATTAAAAATATGTAGAGCCTGGCAGCCTTTAAATAAGAGCACTCAAAAACAAAACAAACAAACAAATGTGTAGAATGCAGGGTGTGGTTGACGCCCCAGATCCCAGCACTCAGGAGATGGAGGCAGGAGAAGCACACGTTTGAGGACTGTCTGGGTTACGTGAGACCCTACCTAAAAAAGGAAAGAGAGAGGAAACATATGCAGGAGTACCAAGCGGAGCATGTGAATCCTGCCTTCCAGGCAGAGGGAGAGCGCTAACAGTGTGTTCCCCAGCCATTGCCTCCACAGCCAGCACTGCGGAAATCTCCCCAGTGCCCCTTGACTCTCCAAGCTCTCGCAGAAAACCTCAGCCCCTAAAACAACAAGTAGAGAAGCAGTTGCCCAGTTCTTCCAGAAGACACCAGGCAGGCTGCTGGGCCTGCAGCCAGAGCCCACAGAGAGGCCTAGCCCCTCAAGGCAGAGGGCCGGGAAGGCAACACAGAACTCCTACCCTGTGCCTGGTCCACCCGATTACCAGGAAGGGATGGGGCGGGGGTGGGGGCACAGTTCCAAGAGGTCCCACATCCCTTGCTGTCAGGCCCACAGAACCGGGGAGGGGTGGGTGTTGGCACTCTGCATGCCACGGCTAGTACTGGCTAAAGGAGTAAGTATTTGAGGCGGGAGCACCCATGACTCAGAGCCCATGATGTCAGACCCTTCACAATTAGGTCACTATCATCACTCACGACATGACTCGCAGTGGACCTGAGGAGAGCCAAGCGAGGTGCCGCAGCTAAAGCAGAAGGAGCCAGTGGCACAGAGGACTCTCCAGAGGGGACTACTACTCCGCTAGGGCGCGCCCTCTGGGTATCTTCCTTCAAAGTGACCCGGGATGCCACTGAGTAAGAAGACACATGGGAACACTGGGAACCAGACACCAAAGTCAGGTTTCGGGAAAACACGGTCCTGTACTCAGACTTTAGGCAACTGCCCAGACGTACAGGAGCCGGCAGCCAAAGGCGCTAGACGCAGCAGGGGGCGCGCTAACCACTACCACGTCCGCACAGGTGGGTTAGCCCCGGCCGGTACCCTGGTACCCACGGAGGCTCACGCTGCCCACAGAACGAGTCAGTGTCACATCCCCCTGCCCGTCCCAGGTCGTCTTACCCAGCGCGCCGCAGCTCCCGAGGACCAGCGCGACCGCGGGCGCAGCCAACAGGGCGGCCAGCAGCGCACAACCGACTGCCAGCATGCTTTCTTCTGCGCGGGGCAGCGGGGCAGCTCCGCAGCCGGGGTCCGGGGCGGAGGGGGGGGGGGCTGGGGGAGAGGGGGAGATCAGTAGCCGTCCCCCTCCGGCTCCGCTCTCAGCTCCCGACTGCGAGCGAGCGCTCGCCCTGGCGCGGCTCAGCTCAGTGTCGGTGCGACTTCCCACTTGCACGTGACACGGAGCAGCGGGCCGTCCTGGCAACCGCGAAACATTTGAGGAACCGGTGCAAAAACTCCCTTTTGGCAGCCCCCGGCTCGCTGTTACGAAAGCTAGGTTGGATGGCGCAACCGCCCAGCGCTCCGGGCCACAGGAGGGGGGTAACTTCCTGCAGTCAAGCCACACCTGAGCCGCGAGGGACCCCCACCAGGGTCCCTCCCCAGGTTTTGACGCTGAGCAAAGGGGAATTAGCGGCCCCCGCCGCCCCGCGCCCCAGGTTTTGTTTTCCTGAACACGATTTTGGAAGAGGCTAAGTGTCTCTGGCTGTCAGAGGGCAGGGCAGCCCCCCAGTGCTTACAAGAATCAACCGGGGAGTCCGGAAAGACACCGACGTGTGCATCGACCCCAGAGGCTGTGATTTAATTGGTCTGAGAGGAGACTTAGGCATCCGAAACCCATCTGAGGGAAAGGTTTCCCCTCGCCTTCCAGCAGCCCTTTGAAGGCTGTTGCAGGGGCAGCCAAACTGTGTGCGCTTTGGGGTCTGAAACAGAGAAACATGGGCTGCCTTCCTCAAGACTACAATTCCGAATCCCGGCGTCTCACCTGTTAGGGTTGTTGGTTTGGGGTTTTCTTGTTTTGTTTTGTTTGTTTTTTGTTTTTGTTTTTGTGTTTTTTGCTTTTTAAGCCTATGAAGATAGAGTTTTGTTTTGTTTTTTTAAGCCTATGGTGAAGATTCCTGGAGACACCATCTAAGTACCTGGACCCCAAATACTCAATGAGGAGTCGGACCTTGGCTACCCTCGCGACCTCTCTGCTTAGAAAGGAACTGGTTTTTTTTTTCCTTTGGTTTTTCGAGACAAGGTTTCTCTGTGGCTTTGGAGGCTGTCCTGGAACTCACTCTGTAGACCAGGCTGGCCTGGAACTCACAGAGATCCGCCTGCCTCTGCCTCCCGAGTGCTGGGATTAAACGCCCGGCTGGAACTGTTTTTACCAGGACCCAGCAAGGTTCCCCACAGAGCTTGAAGCTACCGGGCAGCTTCACATGCAAATGCGGACGGAAAGAAAAAGACTGAAAATAAAATTTAGACTCGAGGCCCCTGGACCTGCACCTGCCTGTTTTAATGTGCGCTTCCATTTTTGACTTTTGACTGATTAGAGTCCATGGGGCAACTGGAACGGGTGTGTCCTGGGGGAACTCCTAAATAAGACATGACCAGGCAGGGCAACATCCAACATGCAGGCCTCAGACCAAGGCGTCCATCACTGCCTGTGTGAACTACACGTAAGCAATGGAAGAACCAACTCTGCCCAGGACGATGGGACCGGCTTGGATGGCGCTTGCTTCAGTCATGCACCCTCTTCCTGTGGTGGCACAGGCACTTGAGAAGCAGAGGCAAGTGGATATCTGTGAGTTTGAGGCCAGCTTGGTCTATACGACAAATGCCAGAGCCTCGGTCTGCACACAGAAACCCCGTCTTAAAAACCAAACAACCAATCCTTTTCTCCCCATTTAAAATGGGGCTCTGGTGGCACACACCTGCCTGCAATCCCAACACCTCTCTGGAGGCTGAGCAGGAAGATCAGAGCTCAAAGCAAGTGTAGTGAGACTCGCCCTGTCTCAAAAAATAAAACGCATTTCCAGCAGGCTCCCATTGTGGTGGCCCCTTCCTTTCTGTGGTACATGGAGACCTGAAAATAATTGCTGAGAGACAACGAGTTGCTGGCCTGAAACAGGAAGGCTGCCAGCTCAGATAGGAGTTTAATAAAGGAATGTTGAAGGCAAGAGCAGGCATCCCAGGAATGGCCTGGCATCTGTGCCCAAGTGACTTCCCCTTGCTTTGTGATCCTGGGAGGGGGGAGGGAAGGGAGAGGGAGTGGGGGAGGGGCTGTGTTCTACAGTCACAGATCATTCATCTTTGAGCATTATTTACTGATTCGTAAAATAAGAGGCAGAGGCAGGGCGTTGGTGGCGCACGCCTTTAATCCCAGCACTCGGGAGGCAGAGGCAGGCGGATCTCTGTGAGTGTGAGGCCAGCCTGGTCTATGAGGTGAGTTCCAGGTCACCCGGGGGTACATAGTGAGGCCACCTTCACTTTCCCACTCTCTTTCCTGTGCCAAAGCCATGCATGCACTCAATGTCGCTCGTGGTTTCTCATCTCCATGCCTTGTGCAAGCTACTCTTTAGCCAGGTCCTCCCTCCCTGTGTCCTACACCCTACTCGGCCTTAACACTCACTTCGGACAGACGTGGTGGTGGAGACTTACAACCCTAATTCTCAAGAAGTTGAGGGGGGAACTTTGCAAGGTCAAGACCAAGCTGGACAAGACCCTAGTTAAAAAAAAAATCAAGCACGGCTGTGAACACATGTATCCCCAGTATTCGGGAGGGAGGGAGAGGATTTTCCCCAAGTTCCAAGCCAACTTGACCTACATAGCAAGAAAAGATAAGGAAAAAAAAAAAAAAGAGGCAAGCCTGGACTTGGCTGTTTTCTCCAGAAAACTGGAAGGTCTGTTCCCTGGGCTCCTAGAAGCCTGTCACCCACAGATGTCAGGTCCCTGTGCTCCTCCAAATGTGACTTTGTTTAGCACTCTGCCTTCCTTGTCACCCTGAAGAACTCATCCTTTCCTGAGCAGGGCCTACCGCACCTGGAGATCTTTGTCTCAATTGAGAAAGAGATTCCTCAGGGCTCTGTGCAGATCTTACCTCCTCTAAGGCTGCCTGAACTCCACACTTAGCACAAGTTCAGTTTATGAGCCGACATTCCAGGCTGTTATGACAAACACTAAGGAGGAAAGAAAAATGTCTCCGTGTGTGTCAGCCTTGCTGCCAACCCCCGCAATCTCCCAACCTCCTGCCCCCGGTCGGACTGCTGCTGCCAGTCCCCAGGAGTTACCGGCCCCTCCTGTGTGCTGCCAACCCCAGCAAGAGTGCCTGTTGGTGTAGTGAAACTTGGAAATGGAGACACCCAGCCTCCAGGAAGCAGAAACGAGTGGCAGATTGAGGTTGAAGTACAGGGGACTCACACAAGCCACTGTGACTGCAGCAGAGGAACAGAGAGCTTCACGTTGGAGCCAGGGCACCTCTCTGGGGACATTTTCTCAAGAACACAACTGCCTTTCAAATTCTCAGCCCTGAGGGCTAGGAAGTATCATTGCATGCCAAATCGGCTCAGAGAGGTGAAGTAATTTCACCTCTTTCAACTGTAGGCTGAGATCTGGCCCAGGACTCTCATGCGGGGAGGTGACTTTGGGACACTTGTCTACCCCGTCACGGTAGGCACTAAGGGACTGCACAGGCTGCGAGAGAAGAGTGCACTGTGAACTTGGTTTAACAACACTTGCTTCTTCTGGTCCCCAGGCTCGGTCCCGCTTCTGTATGGGTGTCCCTGCAGTTACCCTCCATGTCCTCTAGAGGGAGAAGCCCTGGCCTAGCTCAACCAGCAAGCAAGCCCTCTCTTACCTTGGACCTGAATAGCTTAACCTGCTCTTAGCCACAGAATCTGACCTCGTAGCCCCGGCAAGCTCAAATGGGCAATCCTACCGCCGCCACCTCCCCAGTGGTGGGATTTAAGGCTGCTCACCCCAGGTCCAGCGAAAATTAGCTCCTTTTGTAGTCATGGACTCTGCTTCTCTTGCTTTCTAGACAAGGAAACTGAGGCCCCAAAGGTGAACTGTTTGCTAAAGATGGCAAAAGGGGACAGTGTGAACAACAGATATGAGACTCCACCTGTCCTAGTTGGAGAGGGGTGTACTGTCTTGAGTGTTTTGGTTTTTGGTTTTTTTTTTTTAGTTTTGTTGTTGATTTGTTTATTTTGCTACAGGTTCTCATGTATCTGAGGCTGGCCTTGAGATTTTCTTGATCCTCCTGCCTCCACTTCCCCAATGCTGGGCTTAGAAGTATGCATCACCACACCACACCCCACCAGTTTTTTGTTTTTTAAATAAATCTCCTCCCAACACCGCCTCCAGAGCTGGTCTCAGCTCTAGTAAGGGCACACCCTGACCTCCAGGCCTGGACCCATTCTGGTCCCAATAAGGGACACTCTGTATAATCTACTCACCTGCAGGTCTGCCAAGGGGACCAGTCGGTTCTGAGGAAGGTTGTGAAGTGAAGTTAGGCTGTCTGGCAGATTTGTCCCCTGCATCTGACACTTCAGTCTCTCCTGCACAGGTACAGCTTCTCTGGGGTTTTCCCCCGGAGGGGACAATGTGGACAAACATTGGGGCTGCACCCCATCACCAGCAGAGACTCCAGCTCACAATGGAGACTTGCAGCATGCTCAGCAATCATGACCCATATTGTCCCATCACCAGCTGAGGTCACCCCTAGAGATGGGGCTGCTAAAGCCATTCCCAAAAAGAAGTTATAAGCTCCCCCAATAGTACGTATAGAATGTTATGTTGTCATAAAGGTTCTATAATACTTATGGAATGTGATGTTTTTAATATTTTATTTTGTTTGTTTGAGACAGGGTCTCACCATGTAGCTAGATGACCTGGACTATTAAGTTTTTGTGACTGCAGAGAAGCATCACAACTCAAGTTAAACAGAGATGGACTGGGGAGTCGGTTCAACTGTGAAGAGCTTACTGCTCAAGGAGGAGGACCTGACCTCATAAAGTGCCGGATAGCGGGGCTGAGAGATGGCCCAGTGGTTAAGAGCACCGGCTGCTCTTCCAGAGGATCAGGGTTCAATTCCCAGCAACCACATGGCAGCTCACAGTCGCCTGAAACCTTAGTTCCAGGGGATCTGATACCCTCACACAGACATACATACAAATAAATGAGTAAATAAAATTTAAAAATAAAGTGCCAAATATTCTGGCTACACAGTGAGACCCTGTCTTATAAAACAATAAAAAGAACACCAGGAGGGTTCCTGAAGGTCACGGGCCTGTTAGTCACCGTGCTCCAGGATCGGTGAGAGATCTCTCAAAAAATAAGGTGAAGGGTAGAGATAGTGAGTCAGCAGTTAGGAGCACGTAGAGACCTTGAAG